GTGGCTTTTGAATACTAGGCATTAGTAAAAAAAAAAAAAAAGACTAAATAAAATAATATATTTAATTAAAACTGAAAAAAATATCTTTTAAAAAATATACTATAAACGGTTAAAGTACCATTTTGGTCCCGCAACCTTTCACTTTAACACCAAAACTGTCTTTCAACTTTAAAAAATACTAAAATTATCCTTAAATTTTCATTTTTGGTAACAAAACGGTCCTTCCATCAGTTAAATGACAGGTGTCACGTTAACTTGCCAGCAAATCAATTCTTTTTTTACTTAACTAATGACATTTTTTTACTTAACTAATGACATGGGAAAAAAAAAACCATAGTTGATCTATGAGTTGGCATTAGTTGGCATTTTTATTTAATTTTAAAATAATATTTTTTTTCATCCACGTCATCTCTTCATCCTCTTTTACTTTCTCTCTCCTTTTCCCTCTGCAAACCAGATCTGGGTTCTCTCTCAAACTTCATCTTCTTCCCCCTTTCCTCCTCCCTCATCATCCTTCTTCTTTCTTCTTCTTATTCTTTCTTTCTCTCTCTTCTTCCTTCTTCTTCTTCTCTCAAACCCAGATTTGGCATTTCAGCAACCTCGCTCACCTCATCTATGAGCCCAACATCTGTTACACAAAATTACACTTGGCTCTTGTGCAAAGAAGAGTGCCTGAGGCACACTTCAAAATACAAGACTAGAAAAGAATTAAACTTTCAACGCTTAATAGTCACACAATACAAATGAAAAGACCAAGACATAAATCAGACTAGATTCAGACACTAGAGAAGAGTAAGTGAGGAAAGTTAAGGTAGTTATAGACTATAGTTAGACATATATGAACACACCATGTGTTATCATTGGCATGGTACTAAAAAAATTGGGAATAAATTATGAAGTTTGCAAAATGAAAAGCAATGAACATTAGTGAAAAATATAATGTAGTATATAATGGAACCCAAAACCAAACTAATCTACTAAGGTTGTGCTCATGTAGTCAGACCACTACAAGTCTATGAAAATGTTTGATATTAAAGACTGAGAGTTTCCTCTGCAAGTTATTTCAATGATATATTTCATTAACATAGATCCCCACATATACCTTAAATTCAAGCACATAGAAAACAACCAAGGAAGGTTTAAATTAGACTGAAAAACAAACATTGTTTTCTAAAGGTACAGCACATGCAGTGCTTGCAGCTGCAGCTGATGATGTGCTAGCTGCAGCGGCTGGTCTCCTACGCATCCTACGAGCACCAGTGGCGCCAACCACAGCTTCCCTCCATGGAACCTGAAACCGACACCAGGGAATAAGAAACAAAGAAAAGCCCAAAAGTGTTCATCTGGAAAACCTTCAACATTGACGACTAAATGCACAAAATTGGTGAAATAGAAAAAGGGGTAAAGAAATGGACCTGACGGTCTTCTTCGTGTTCCTGAGGTGATCGCAAATCCAGTCAGTGTTTCCATAGATACAACTGGCTTCCTCACGGAGGCGTAGCAGTGCCACGAGCGCGTCCAAGATGGACGAGGTGAGTGAGGTTGCTGAAATGCCAGATCTGGGTTTGAGAGAAGAAGAAGAAGGGAGAAGAGAGAGAAAGAAAGAATAAGAAGAAGAAAGAAGAAAAAAGAAGGATAAGGAAGGAGGAAGAAAGGAGGAAGAATATGAAGTTTGAGAGAGAACACAAATTTGGTTTGCAGAGGTAAGGGAAAAGGAAAGGTAAAGGAGAGAGAAAGTGAAAGAGGAAGAAGAGATGACGTGGAAGAAAAAAAGAAGTAGATGAAAAAAAAAAAAAAATAAAAACTAAAGAAAAATCACAACCAAACCCAAAGCATAACAAAACTATGGTTTTTTTTTTTTCAAGGCAATAAGTAAAGAAAAAAAAAATGAATTGCCGGGAAAGTAAACCAAAACCAGCAATTAAACGACGGAAGCATCATTTTGATACAAAAAATGAAAGTTTAAAGATAATTTTAATATTTTTTAAAATTAAGAGATAATTTTAATGCAAAAATAAAAAATTAAGAGACCAAAATGGTACTTTAACCTAAAATAATATCTTCAAACACTATAATTATTACGATTTAAAATAAAAACATGCAGTGAGTTGGTGTGGTTAACTCTTAACAGTATTGCGTGCGGTATGGATGTACGGTAGTAACCAACCACATCCCCTTCTTAGGAAAAAAACTTACTTTTTAATTCCTCGCCTTATTAAATTTAAAAGTTTTAGCCTTTCATCTTATACTATAACATTTTTAACCCTTTATCTTATTAGATTTATAGGTTTTAGTCCTTCACTTATTAAAATCAAAGAAAATAACTCTCATTTTATACTGACTATTAACTCTATTAGTTGAAAGTAAGTTTTTATCAATTAACAGTCAATTAATAGTCAGTTAACTGAATGAACGAAATATTATAAAGTTAGTTCTATTAATTATGTTAGTTAAAAGAAGATTTTTGTCAATTAATGTCAACTAACAGTTAGCTAATAAAATTAATAATTAGTTAATAAAATTAACAAAATATTATAAAGTGAGAGCTATTTTCTTCAATTTTAATAAGTGAAGAGTTAAAAGTATTATAATATAAAGTGATAGGTTAAAATCTATAAATCTAATAAGGTAAAAAGTTAAAAGTATTATATTATAAAATGAGGAACTAAAACATTTAAACTTAATAAGATAAGAAATTAAAACTTTTAAACTTGATAAGATAAGAAAAGATAAGAAACTAAAGGTAGGCTTTTGCCCCCTTCCTAAGGGGTTAGAGGTAAAAGTCAGTCAAGTCAATGCTCTTCTCTCCAACTGGAATATCAGAATTCAGAAGACTTATATATATATATATATATATA